AAGGCCCAGCACCCCATGGGCAGTCTGGTAAGACCTGGGTGGCCAGACAGTTTCTCTGTGGGCGGACTGTGAAGCTGTATTTCTCTGTGCGGAACTGAGTTTTTTTCTTCTGTAATTGTGGCATGTTTTTGAGATCCACACCACTGCTTTCCTGTTGTAAACTGAACACTAGTTATTTTTGAGTGGCTTTGTTGTAGTGAATCCAGAGGTTACAGTACCTTCCTGTTTGAAAATGTCCTATAGTTATATTCCTGCCTCAGCCTCCCAGAGTGCTGAGAATTTGAGCGTGTGCTACTATACCCTGTTTGTGAGGGGGTGCTTTTGTGGTGGTGGTTGTGGTAATAAACACAAAAGGCATACTCAGATATACACACTTCCTGTCAGTGTCATTTTCTTGGAATTGGTATTGCACTAAGTTACATGAAAGGTAATCCATGGGGGAAATTAGGTAGAGGGCACATGGGACCTCCCCATAGCTTCCTAATAAGTTTCTGTGACTGTACTTGTATTGCTGGGACAAAATACCTGACACCCCCAAGTAAGGGAGGAAAGGATTATTTAGCTCACAGCTTGTGGAGGCATCAGTCCACACTCAGCTGGCTCCAAGGCAGGGTGGTGTGGTGAGGGGCTGTAAGCAAAAGCCTCCCTCCCTCCCTCCCTTATGGTGTGTGCAAGCCTCCCTCCCCACCCCAGCGCAGGTGCGGCCCTCAGCCTGCCAATCCCAGCACTCAGCAACGAACCAATCACAAACTCTGGATTTAGCTGCCTCCAAAAAGCCCACCCTCCACGACTGCATGAGTCTAGGAGGACCCGCGCACACAAACCACAGTGATACTTTGATGATTAAAGTAAAATAAGGGATTAACTTGAAGTCTTTGTGTATCACTGAAATTATGCTTTTCTATCTTATGTTTAAAAGCATTTAATTATTTTTGTATTGGGGTTTGAACCCAGGGACTTGGCACTGAGCTGCATCCCCGGCCTTTTGTAAATATATTTATTTTTCAGATAGCGTCTTGCCAAATTGCTGAGCAGCCCAGGCAGGGCTTGACCTTGTGGTCCCAGAGTGCTGGGATGCCTGCCGTGCATCACCATGCTTGGCTCCTTTAGCCTTGTGGTGGAGCAGGTGTGTTGGTGGCAGATTCGGGAAGTGTCCCTTCATCTAAGTAGGCTTTGCTGTCTCCCCCGCCCACCAGCTTTTTTATTTTCTTTTTAGGCAGAGTCTTGCTGTGTAATTCAGCCTGGCCTTGAACTCACTGTGTGGCCCATGCTTTGAGCTCACACAATCCTCCTGCCTTCGCCTCCGTGCGAGGGTGTCAGGCGCACTACCATGCCCAGCTTTCTCCTTT